ACATTAGGATAAACCTAATAATACAGTACCCTAATCCCTCCCCTCAACATTACTAAAAAAACACATAAAATCAACTGATTAAAACCCTAGCAATTAGCTACTCATACAAACCCATCATCAAACCAACGGATTCATCGTGGACGGCCCGTACCCGTTCATCAGCCCGGCCCACGACCCGAGCCCTCCGATACTATACCCAAACGTGTCCTTAATCCCGACATCCGAATTACAATCTTGCCACTCGAGCGACAAAACCCTAGCGTTCGGCTTCACGTCGACCTCGTGACGGCTACTAAAAACGTGATGGTCCACATGATGATGATGATGCTGATTAATCATGTTATTGTAACTTGGATAGCTAGTCTCATCATAAGGCAGAAGAACATTGTTATCAATCATACCAAATGCGTGATTATTAATCCCGAGCCCGTCGAAACCCCCTTCTCCGCTAGGGTTTTGCTGCATGCCGCCCATAATCCCCATGTATCCGATCGGGTCGGCCGGCCCGAAAAGCAATCCCGGGCTTACGGGATTGAACAGTCCCGGGCCCACTGCCAGCTGGCCGTCGGGGAACGCCAGCTGGAGCTCGGTGTTGTTGTTCTTGAGGTCCCGTGTGGCGACATGTGGCGGCGCGGAGGACGATGACGTGGACGGGTTGTGATTGTTTTTCTTGGAGGTGACTTTCTTGTTTTTCCGGCAGCCGCCGCCAACCGGGATGTTGCGGAGGGTGCCGCCTTTGGTCCAATAGCGGCGGCACGTCTTGCAGAAGTAGCGCGGCTGAGAGAGGCTGTAGTTGTTGTAGTAGCAGAATTTGGTGTGGGTCGACTCACACCTCGGGCACTTGAGGGCGTGCTCGTGTTGCGGCCGGAGGGTGCGTTGGCGCTCGGAAAACGGGTGGTGGTCGATGTGGTGGGGCCCGCCGCCTCCGGGAGGAGTCGTGGTGGTGGTGGTGACGGTGGGGGGAGAGTCCATGATGAGGCCGCCGGAGTTTTCTTCGGAAATCGGGCCCTTAGGGGAAGAAGAGAAAAAGGATAAATTAGTTAGAAGGGATATAATTGTGTGTTTGTATGTATGTGTGTTTGTTGGGTGTGAGTGAGTTTGATTATTTTTATTTTTATTTATTTATTTATTTATTTTTGGAGATAGGTTTGGCTAGCTAGCTAGGGGTATGGTTTTGTGGATTAATGGATGCTTATGGTGTGTTGGTTCTTTTCACATGGAGTGCGTGCTTAGAGTGTGAAAAAAGAGGGGTGAGATTGGGAAGGATTGGTTTGTCTATATGAGGAAATTTTATTGAAAATATTGGGGGAAATGGAATTAGTGAAGGTCATATAGTGGTAACACTTCATGTGTTAATTTAATGGTGGCTCTAATTAAATATGGTGATATTCTTTTGTCTCTAAGTGTATAAGTGTTTCATGGAAGATTCGACGACCCTACCTACACATGCCTGTAGTGCACGTGTCAAGTTTTTCACCGTCAGATCAACACATCCTCAGACGAGTGTGTGATGAATTAATGGTGAAAAACTAAATTGTCATTGTAATTTTTTAGAGAGAGATTGTATGGGTTGAGTTGATTGATTGGAGAAAAGATGGAAAATGGGATGTCGGTAGTTTTTTTTTTTTTGGTCATATGAATGAGCCTATGATATAACGTGGGGTCAGCTTTAAACAATGCACTAATTTCAAGATTTGGCTACTTTAGAAAGTCTTGGCCACAAACAAAAAGGAGGCTCAGCTCTACCATTTTTTTCAATCTCTATGCACTTATATGCAGACTGCAAAAGAGTATTATCAGATATAATTTCAGATATCATTTGAATACCATCATTAGAAAACAAAGAAACTATAAGAATAAAAAAACTCATCATCACAAGAAAAGAAACAAGAATCAAAATTGGTAATGTTGATGTTAAAATCACTTTGGCATTTAGTCCGCTATAACTCTCAAGCATGCTATTTATTAAAAAAAAATGCCAACAACCCCAAGAAATAAAACCCGTTTTATTGTATGTATTTGTTAATTCTATATATTTTTTAGGGGCAATTGGGTTAAACTTAGAGAAAAAAATTTCAACCAAATCAAGGGAAAATTTCAGGAACGCAATCACCTGATATTTTTACTATTGGATCAACATACGCATATAGATGTGTGTTGATCCAAAAGTGAAAAACCTTGCGAGATTGAACAAGCCCCAAATTAAAAAAGTGACATAATTAAAAAGAAATGGAGAAAAATGTGCATGAAGAATTCACATGCATGCATTAGCCATTGTTGTTATAGTTTAAGTATATATATTATACCTGCAACCAGTCTGAAGAGTCCATGCAAACTTGGAGAGAGGTAATGCCCATCACTTTATAACTGGAAACCACAAAACAAGCTTAAAAATCCACTCTTGAAAATGATTAGTATCAAGAAATAGAGACAAATCCCTTTTTCTTGATTTTTTTTCCCCACTCACTATGTATATATGTACCTTGAGATGATGCACTTAAACTAAGAAGATATAAAGAAGAAAAATGAAGATAAAAGGATGAAATTGAGTGATTCTTTTTTTTGAGTTGTGTTATTGGGAGAGTGAAGAGAAAGTCATGAGATTGAATGAGAGAATGAATTTTGGATGAGTTTTTTTTGGTGCAAATGCTCAAGTGGGGATGGGATTGTGAATAAGAAGGAAGAAAAAGTAGGCTGTGGTGGGACCTACTTGCATACTCACTACACTCACACAATCACCTTGGGGCTAAAATTGTAATTTCGTGTCCTATAACTATATTGCTACAAATAATTGAGTCGGCCTTGTAGATATTATTTAATGTCTTTATTTTTAATCGAAATCTTATAGATGTAGGAAGCTATCATGTGCATGAAGCTCGAAAGAACGAACACCAACAAAGCTCGAAAGAACAAACACCAACAAAGAAGCTCAATCAACGAAAAGAAACGAGTCCGGAATATATTTAAGGCACTCTTCGAAAGCGAAATTATCTTGTGTATAAGTCTAGGTTAGTGATAATCAGATTTAAAATATGATGATTTTCAACTATAGTATAGTATGATACCTGAGTCACCATATATATAAGGCAAATCGAAAAAGTTTAAAAGACTTGATTAATTGTTATCTTGTGTATAAGTCTACAGTTGATAATAATCAGTTTTAAGATACGACGACTTTTAACTGTAACATGGTATATATGATACCTCACTATATGAGACAAATTGAAAAAACTTAATTGACTTGATTGATAGAAGATATATATAGGATAGGTGCTCATTCTTTTCTGACACACAGGCATAAGAACTTTACATCTTCCTCGACTTGAGCTTCAAATACTATAGTGTTCAACAAACTTACTAATATTTGACTCTCAAACTTCAACAATAATAAGCGATAATTAATAAGTATGCATTGCATTCTCTCAATAATGTTTTACTACTCCATTGATTTGGAACAAGGTTCGAACAATGTATCTATAAAAAGAAAATATAAACGAGCTTTGTCGTGGCACGACGAGCCCTATATATGAAAACAAGCTTCGCAACGCTGGAAGGGTCCAGCTCGATTCCTTAACTTTCGGACAACCAACAAAAAATTCCCAAATAAAAATCATAGAAAATCATTTTATTATGTTGTTCAACACCACTTTTTCAAATTCAAATCAAATAGCAACACCGCTACAAAAACCGTACTAGCCCAAGTACACACCACTCACTCACCCTTCAAACCTCGTCACTTCTCCACAACCGCGTTCGTAATTACCACTTTAGCCCCATTAGACCCCACAAATTTCCCCCCCAAAAGGAAGCACTGGGCTCCACACATTCGAACCATTCGACGGCCCAGATTCGGGTTTCAAATGCAGACGATCAAAATCTAACGGCCGCCCGATGATTAATGAATTTGTGGGTGGGACCAAGTCAGAAAATACGGCTCGGTATTAATGTGTCCGACGTGTCGTCCCATATGTTTTTTTTTTTGGTCCGAAAAATGAAATTAAAAGAGATTGAAATAAAAAACCGAGGGGAACACTATAAAAACCGAAAGCGCACTCCAAAGGGGGCGGCGGGCCCACAGCGTGGGGCCCACTCGCACTCCCCTCGCAAGCAAAGGATAATTCCCCTGTCACGTGTCTCATGCTCCTAAATTTTTGGCCTTATTGCAATAAAATAACTAAATACTATATATTTATTTATTTTTTGATCTGACTGAAAGATGTAATATATGAAATTAGCTAGTGAGGGAGATTTGATTTGCAATTTTGTACTTTTTCGATTTGAGGGATTTCGTTTTATATGTTTTGTGCTAATCTACAATGTAATCACCTTGTCTTTTGAGTTCTCGATTTTTGTATTATTATTTATTTTCCTTTGAGGTTAATGAGAATTTGAATTATTACTTTTTATCGGATCTGATTAGTCATTCAAATGAATAAAAAACTTGAATTACGATATCGGATTGCTTAAGAAGAGAAGGGTTTATTCTATTTATTATTTTTTGTTTGTGTGTGTTTTTTTATGTTAAGTAGTTGTGTTTGTGTATGTTAGTTACCGGCATTGGAGTCTTTNTTATATCGATATATAATATTACATATCAGCCGAATTTTGCTCATTTTCTCACCTAACTCAAAGTTCTGTATGTCCACGAGAAACACGCTTTAAATATTTGTATTAATATTACAAATATTCTATGCTATATAAGAAAACATTATCAATATAACATTTCGTAAATACATTATGAATGATTAAATATACAATGATCATGATCACAATAGTAAATAAAAGCTGCTTAATATGACATGTTTGACCCAACAGAGGCAGCTAACAAAAAGTAGAATTTGTTAAAAAGAATTTCTAAGTCCACAAGAAATTCTTGGCTTTTTGCATGTGGTAATTCTGAGTGCGCATAACAATTGTGAGCACATAGCGAAGAAAGGACAACAAATCAAAAGGAAAAAAGAAAAAATAACTGCAATCTCTAATAAGTGAGCCTTGTTAGTTAATCTGTGGTAAGTTTTAAGCAATAGTGAATAGTCGTATAATCTTAATAATGTATTTAAAGTAATTTTTATTAAGATTTAATTGATTTATAGTTTTGCAATTTTAAAATTCATTAATTTATGGACAGTTTTGGCAAAATAAAAAAATAATTATGACATATGTTAAATTCAATGTGATTATTTTTAATATATCCCTAGAATTATTGGACTACTTTCCAAATTTTATTATTTTTATTTATTGCATAAACGTTTTGGACATTTTGATTTTAATGAGCAATTTGGGATAAATTGGTGTATAAAGGAACCGAGTCGAGTTGAGATTGAGCTCAAGTCGTCATAAGCATTTCGAACTTGACTCGTTTATCAATATTAATGAGACGAACTCAATATTATTAGTCAGGCTACAAAAAATTAAAAAAAAAAAAAAATCATATTTCGAGCCTTAATAAGCCCAACCAACCCAACTCGTTATCTAAATGATAGTTTTAAACAAGTTAGGCTTGAGTCTTAACAAGTCGAATAAAATTGAACTCACGAGCAGCTCATTTATTTACCAGCTAAAATATTGCAACAACAATTTGGGAAACGAACCAATCCAAAATTTTAGAAGTCTTCATAGCCCATAAAGTCAAAATTCATAAAAAGATGAAATTTAGAAATTAGGAAGCTATAATTAGTTAGATGAGTTTTAAATAAGTTGGGTTTAAGCCTTAACAAGAATAGAGTTGCACTCACGAGCAGCTAATTTTATTTACCTGCTAAAATATTGCAACAAACAATTTGGGAAACGATGTTGAATCAATCCAAAATTTTGTAAGTCTTCATAGCCCATAAAGTCAGAATTCATAAAGTAATGAAACTTAGAAATTAGGAAGCTATAATTAGTTAAGTGAGATTTAATGAAGCTACTTTTTTACCCTGAAACAATACTTGAGAAAAAAAAAAAATCAATTATATGATTTCCGGTTTTGC